TATATATATATATATATATATATATATATATATATATATATATATATATATATACGCTCTCCTGTCAATACAGCGCCAGTTTATCTGCTGCCGCGAGGCTTTATTCACATGCACCAGATTGCGCTGATGTGATGCTGCTGCCGCTGCTGTGTTGCTGCTGCTGCTGCTGCTGCTGCTGCTGCGTTTTGCAATATACCTGTAAAAAGGAGATCCCTGTCTCTTTGTCTGCTGCTGCGAGTCTGCATGCAATGAGGAGAGAAGTGACGATCTGCAGCGGCAGTTCAAAGACTCCGTGAAAAGCAGCAAAGGACCCCAGCGCACCAATTCGCCTAGCCTGTGCGTCTGCTGCTGCTGCTGCTGCTGCTGCTGCACCTTCGTGGCTCAATATCTGCCTCGTCAGCCTAAAGGCATCGGCGCTGGTCATCACCTGAAGAAGATATAAATAAGAAATAAATTTAAATAGAGAAAAATGCAAACAAAAAACACAAAAAAACAACAGAAAAAGCAAACAGTAACGGGACAACAGCCTCTGCTGCTGCTGTATACTCAGCTTACGCAAGAGAATGTTGCTGCTGCTGCAGCAGAGTAAAACATAAGCAGCCGGACTGGGTGTATCTTCAGCTTGTGCTGCAGCTGGAAGCTAACAGCAAACTTCAAGGCCTCTTGCATGCAGCTGCGCAGCAGCAGCGCGTCGCAAGCAGCAAACAGCAGAAACCCCACACGCAGCAGCCCCTGCTGCTTCCCTGCTGCAGCAGCTGCTGCTACATCCAGCAGCGAAGCCACAGCGAGAAAGCAGCGCCGCAGAAGCGGCAAACTCAACACCAGAGGGACCGTCAGCAGCAGCGTAGAGAGGCAAATGTATAAACCCTAAAAATAAACAAATAAACAGCAGCATAATATTGCATGCGCATACACTCAAACATTCATAAAGGTAGACAACAAAACGCATATTATATATATATATAGTATGCATGCATGGACACGTGTGTTTGGGCGTGTGTTTGTGGTGTATAGGCAGATAACGGGGACATTAAAGAAAAGAAATGCAAACTAAAAAAAGAAAGATATACTCATTTGCTGCGCTATGCAGGGAGTTTTCTGTTATATATATATATATATATATATAACAGCCAAGATAATACATGCATGCATGCACGTGCATGCGTGCACCATAGTCTACTAGAAACTAACAGCAGAGCAGCAGCAGCGCAGCAGCAGCAGAGCAGCAGCAGGTAGACATACCTCTTTAAGAGCTGAATCCTTCCCGAAGAGCTGCAGCACAAGTAAAGAAGACAGATGGAGATTGCCTATATTAACAATAATATAAATATAATAAATATAGAATTGAACGCATGCAATATACTATACATTTATAACACGATTATTATATATATGAATAAAGACAGCAGCTGCAGCAACAGCAGCAACAGCAGCAACAACAGCAGAAATGCAGCAGCAGCAGCATACAACTCGGAGTATGATGATAGCGACGATGTTAGGGAGGGCGACGGCGAGAACGAGTGTGGCAGGGGGTCCTTTGAGTGCAGCAAACGAGGAGAGATAAACAACAGCGCCATAGACAAAACAGAAAAATAAACAAAGAGCTGTGCAGCGGCCCGTACAAAAAGTAGCAGCAGGCCCTCCCCCTATCTCCTGGAGGGCTGCTGTTGGCTTCGCTGTCTTCTGCATTGCAGGCGACAGCTTTAGAGACCTTCCTAACCTCCTGCTGCTGCTGCTGCTGGTGCTTTTGTTGTTGCTGCTGTTGTTGCTGGTGCAGCACTTGCTGCTACTGCCGCTGAGTGCCGGGGTGTATATACACCACTGCAAACGAAAGAAGGAGTCCTTTTAAGTAGTTTTCGTCTTTGAGGAAGGCGAATATCAGCTTGCGCGGAGTAATAATAAAGAGGCTGTGGGTCGGGGGGTTGCTGTGTAGCTGCTGGAGATGGCGGCGCTGCAGTTGCAGCTGTCGCTAATTGAATTTACTAGGTCTTGTTAATTAAGAACTGTGTAGCAAAAAAAGATGTAAATACCATCAGGTGCATGCAGCCATGTGCTCTCTGTCCAGAGTAGACAAGGGGGCCCCACGAAGAGGATGTTGCAGCCGCCGCTGCTGTTTGTTGGCGCTGTTGTTGTTGTTACAGGCCTTGCAAATGTGTTCTCTTCTCTTTTGAGTGTTTAACACACTTAAGATACAATTAAACAATTACTAAAAGAAATAATGCAAAAAATACCCAACAGACTGCCAGTCGAATGCGCTGGGCGGAAGGGGGGGGAACGGCAGGAGGGCAGCGCCGACGAAAGGGCGGTCTTGAGAAGATGGCTCCGTTTAATTTAACTTTTACTTATTTTTAATTTAAAAATGATGATGTTTATATCGCAGGATTGAATTTAATTACCCTGAAACACGCGATTGCGTTGCTAGTCACCGATTCGTTCATCGTCAGGTGGAAGGCAGAGAAGAAGATCGATCGACTTCGACAAGCTCGCCATTATGATAAATGTGCATTTGCTGCTAGTTCCCAGAAGGGCTTGAATTGTTTTTTAAACAAATTGTATGAAATTGAATTTGGTTAAATGCTCGATTACCTCCCTCTGCTGGGCGTATCGCGGATTCAGACTTCCGATCTTCGCAGTGCGGCTCGGGAAGTATTTTGAGTGGGAATGTGCACTGAAGAGTTGAAATACACCCATTATCACCTACTCAGTCAAATGCATTTAGTTAGTTTCATTATAAGGGGGCAGAAAAACCAGAGATTAGTCGCGTTTTCTTTCTCAAAATGCAGCTTTCCCAAATTCATTTTCTCACGCTGCAGTGTACAGGCAGCTCGAGTTTGGCGCAGAGCGCGCAGAAACGTTCCTTTGAAAGCTTCAGATGAAGTTCAGCTGAAGCCAATGCATGCACCAACTCTCTTTATACAATTAATTGGCATTAGTTCTCCTTTTCTTTTTCCTTTTCACCTCATTCCTTCAGCCCAGCGTCGATATGGCGGTGCCTTGCGACCGCATCCGAAGTGCAGAGCACCGAAACATTTTTCAATTTGAGTTCTTTAATGCGGTTCAAAGCGAATGTTTCGACGAAATTTATAATTCGGATCGAAGTATTGTTGTTTGCGCGCCAACGGGGGCTGGGAAGACCGTAAGCGTTGCCCCTGCGTGGCCGCAGCTAAGTTTATTTCATCAGCATTTCTCCTCTTTCAGGTGTTGTTTGAATTGGCTATTCTGCGTTTGCTGGAGCGGAACGACAACCAAGAAGCTCCCTTAAGGCCCAAAGTCCTCTGTCTGTGCCCAACGAAGGCGCTGTGTAGTGAGAGGTACGGCCTTGTTCCAGCCTTCCTTCAATTTCAGCAAACACGACATGAAATTACCTGCATGCATGCATGCATGCATGCATCCTCCCTCTTCAGAGTGCGAGACTGGAAAGAACGCATGTCTCCCTTAGGTCTGCAGTGTTTCGAGTGCGTAAGAGATCAAACTGTTGACATAAGATGATTGACATATATCATATATATAAATGTATATATATAGGCTGACGTCTGATACGCTGGAGGACCGTTTGGCGTTGCCTGCAGTACTGGAGGCCTCTGACATTATTGTAGCAACACGTACGTAGAGCTCACCCGCTAAGAAAGCAGAATCAAGATATAAGAGCAGCATTTTATTATTGTTGTTGCTGCATATAAACAGCAGAGAAGCTGGATATGGTGATGCGAATGAGAGGAGGAGACAACAGCAACACGTTGTCTTCTTCTGTAGCCCTCGTCTGTATCGATGAAGTGCATTTGCTGAACATGAGGCGCCGAGGGCCGGTCTTGGTAGGCCTTCTTAGCTTCTAAAAGAAGTTGTTTTTTGTGTATTGGTTTACCTTTGTATTTACTTTGTTTTTATGTTTTTCGGGTGTCTGTTGAACTCAGGAAGCAATTGTTGCGCGTCTGAAGATGCAGTCTCCCCCTCCTTCTTCTTCTTTTTCTCTTCGTTTTGTTGCTGTCTCTGCAACTGTAACCAACGTCAATCAACTCGCTGCCTGGCTCAACGGCAGCAGCAAATCTTTCAGCAGCAAATACCGCCCCGTGCCGCTGGTGCCTCACGTGCTGAGTTATTACAAGGGCAATATGAATGGATTTGTGGTTAGCATCATTTGCTGCTGCTGTTGCTGTTGCTGCTGCTGCTGTTGTTGTTGATGCTGTTGTTGTTTGTGGTGGTGGTGGTGGTGGTGGGTGAGGCCTTCTTCTTCTCCTCTTCTGTCTTCTCCTTCTTCTTCTTCTTCTTCTCGTTCTTCTCCTTCTGCTGCTGTTGCTGCTGTTGCTGTTGCTGCTTCTGCTGCTGCTGCTGCTGCTGCTGCTTCTACCTGTTCCTGTTTTAATTCTTCGTGTGCTTCACGTTGTTTTTCATCCTTCTTTCTTCTCACTCTTCTTCCTTCTCCTCCTTTTTATTGTTCTTTATCTTTTTTGTTTATCGACAGCTATTAAGTTTCTATTGTTTTTCTTCAGTTTGAACAGAGTTTAGATCGGCATCTGCCTGAGTTAATAAACATTTACAGCGAAGGACGCCCCTCTTTGGTATTCTGCGTTACGAAGAAAGGATGTGAAGGTGCATGCGAAGCAATTTTATCTTCTGATTTACACTTAGTAACTTCGGCTGCTCAACAGAGGTAATTAAAATATGTTTGTTAAATAGGGTTTTAATATCTTATTCAATTTTTCTTTATGTTTTTATTTGTTCTTAAATGCCTTATTTAATACTCGTTATGCTTTATTATTAATTCTTATACAAACTCTGTTGTAAATATTGTCTGTTACCCCTTAGTACATATTGTATGCCCTTTCTCATTATTAATAAAAGTCTTAATTCATTGATATTAAATGTCTTTATTCATCTCTATTAGACGTATAAATTGATCATTATTAAATAACTAAATCAATAACTTATTACTGTCTTCATTAACCAGTAATGAGCATTTAAATGGGCTGCTACTAAATGCATTTATTCGTCATTATTAAACCTATATATTATTCTTAGTTTAATATTTTAATTAATAACTGTTAATTGTATTTACTAATCAGTATGAATATCTAAGTTAATCGCTGATGAATGTCTTTATTAATCAGCATTAAATATTTGAATTTATTGTTAATAAACGTATTTATTTGTCTGTATTAAATGTTTAATTTAGTCTTTACTTAATATATTAATCTATCTTTATGCAATATCTTATCTAGTTATTTATTACTACCTTAGTTACCCATCATTAAACGCTTAAAATAAACGCTGTTGAATAACTTTAATAAAATTCTTTATTATAATAATAAATAATAATAATAATAATAAAACATTCACTATAAAATATACACATTTGTAATTATTTACCGTCTAAATAATTCACTACAATATATTTAAATTTAATAATATACAATATGAGTCCTCTTAAGCACAGCGCAGCGCCAACAGGAAAAGGCAACAGCAGAAAACACAAAGTTGCTGCTGATGATATATGCATACTCAGTAGCAGGTATATAATTATATATATATGTGTGTATGTTTACATGTATAACTATATATAATATACTTTGAATAGATAGTAAACATAACGTATATACAATATTTAATATAGACGTAACAAGAATGGCGCACAAATGTAGCATAATATACAAGCATGTATATATATGTATAAATGCCTAGATAAATATATAAATATATATAAATATGCATGATGTATAATATAAAATGCATAAAATGCAGATAATATGCATAATATGTTTGCAGGGAGCTTGAACTTTTGGCTAAGACGATGGATCCGAAACATAACCGGTTTCTGCTCCGGGGTATTTGCGTTCATCACTCAGCCCTCACTGCAAGCCAGCGAGCAGCTGTTGAAAGAAACTTTCTTAAGGTACAGCAACAGTGCGCCTATTTGCTTTCTTCTATTCATTATTGCATGCATGCATGCATGCATGCATGCATGCGTGCAATAGTGGTGCATGCATTCATGCATGCATGCCAGTTGCATGCGGGGGGCGAGCAGATGAAGGCAGGGGTTGATTGACTTAATGTATATTCATCTTTTCGTTTATTTGCTGCAGGAAAACATCAAAGTCCTCTGCACTACGAGCACTTTGGCTCAAGGAGTGAATCTGCCCGCCAGGCAAGTACCAGCATACACTCAAATCCTGCATGCAGATATGCATGCAAACATGTACGTATGTGTGTATGCATGCATGCATGCATGCATGCATGCAGTATACACTCAAGTCCTGCATGCAAATATGTATGTATGCATGTGTGTATGTATGCATGCATGCATGCGTTCACACAAATCCTGCATGCATGCATGCATCTGATGATTGGGGTATATTGTATGATGGATGGATATCTTATTATTTCAGGCTTTGTCTTGTTAAGAGTACTGTGGCATATAAAGAAGGCCGCTACTCCGAGTATGATGAAATTGAAATGCTGCAGATGATCGGTGCGTCTTCTAGTTTTGTTGTTTCTAACAAAGTGCACTCTATGTCTAAATAAGAATGAAGAGGCCTTCTTATAAACTAAAACTCTATTTAAAAACAAAAACAACAGAAAACACCATCACCAACATCAACAGCAACAACAGCAGCAACAATAACAGCAACATTAGAAATGATAATAGAACAAACAAAACGAAAACAATAACGAATATAAAGACATTCTAATGATTGCAGGCAGAGCTGGGCGTCCTCAGTTTGATAGCTGCGGCGTTGCAGTAATAATGACTTCGCAAGAGAGTTATAAGAAGTGGATTGAGCTGTCTTCGGGCCGCCAGCAGATATCGTCGAAGCTGCACGAGGAGTTTATAGAGCATTTAAACACTGAAGTGGCGTTGGGAACTGTGCAGAATGCGGCGATGGCTATCTCCTGGTTTGAAGCGACATTTTGGGGTGTACAGACACCTGAAGAGAAGCGAAAGGCTTCTCACGAATCTATCAAAGCTGCACTCAACAAACTCAGTGCGTCTCTTCGCTGCCCTGTACATCTTCTTCTTCTCTGTACATGTCTTGTATGCATGCACACGCCTCCACCGCAAACAAACATCAACAACAACATACAAATGCAGCTTCTCTGGGGCTAGCAATATGCAGCCAGTCTGGAAGACTCAGCAGCACAGCAATCGGCGCTGCGATGGCGCGATACGGAACAAAGCTGCAAACTATTTCATCCTTCATGACTGCTGGTGAGTTGATCTATATATATACATATATATATATATATATAAGTATATATATATATATAAGTATATATATATACTTATGATTGTTTACATATATATATATATATTAACTATTAGCACAATAATCAAATAACTAATTAAACAGCGCATTTATGCGTTAATCAGGTAATAGTTAATTAATGCATAATAAATGAATAAATATAAAAGCAGTAAGGAAGATATAACGCGACGAATAATCTGCTGCTTAACGAAGTACAGCGACAGCAGTGCAGTAAAACTCAGAGCTTGTCTGTTGCTACAACTAATAGACAACTGAAGCATAATACACCTCCTCTGCTACCTTCTCTGAGCTTTAATTGATTTAATTGCAGATCTGCATGCACTCGAAGGTCTGCCTGAAGAAGAATTGTTTAAAGCCCTTTTAGAGCTCATCGCCGGGGCAGTTGAATTCGAAGAACTCGCGCCAAGACGGGTAATGCAAAAAGCAAGAAAAAGAATATAAAACAAATATATAAAGAAAAACAATTAATAAATGTTTTTGCATTCAAATACATCTATGCAAACAAAGATTGTCGATAAAGCGAAAAATGCGGTGCTCTCTCATCTGTTTAAACGTTATAATATACATAAATATACAAATATATATATATATATATATATGTACATGTGAGTGTATGTTTATACGCCTTTATATATATATGCATATATATATATATACTGGCTTATTGAATATGTGCAGTGAATATCAACTGCTATTAACTGCACATAATCAATAAGGCATATATGTAATGAAGAGAGGATCAGTCTTCCCTCTCGTTACTTGTTCTGATCTGTTGAAGAGTTATTTTTGTTTTTATTTATATTACTTTCAGGAACAGAAGAAGCCGCTGCGCGAGTTAAGTCGGCAACCCAATATGAATTGGGGTCTGGAGCAATGCGCAATAACAACGAAGACGAAGGCGTTTGTATTGATGCAAGCAGCTATCTTTGCTGTTCGTATTGAACAGGTAATTGTTGTTTATTTGCATCTACTAACTCATCTAAACCCTTTATTAATGCATGCACAATTCCTGCTGCTGCTGCTGTTGCTGCTGCTGCTGCTCTTTTTCAGTGGGAGCTTGAGACGCAAAAGATAACATGTGCACGGATTGGAGGTATTAATTGATTAATTATGCATGCAGCATATTAAAAAAAGTTAATTATATTTATTTTAAATATAAACTGCCCGCAGAAAGAGTCGCCAGGTGCTTCCAAGAGTGCGCACTTGAACAGCAAATAGGTCGCACGTACTGCTGGTAAGAAGTGAAGAAGAATAATATCGTATTAAAGATAAATAAATAAACAAATCAGTAATAAACAAATATATAAATAAAAAACAAGTAAAGGAATAATAAACCAGTGATTAAATAGAACAAACAAATGAATAATGTAGATATATGTGCAATGTTCAAACACTCAGCCTATTCTTCTTTCTTGCATTTTACTCCGCCTACAATTATTTATTAACTATTTTTTATAATTGCTGTACTTGTTTTATTATTATTTGATTATTATTACTTTATTATGACAATATAATTATCGTTAAGTTGCCTCTAGTTTTATACTGTAACACAATTTCACTATGGTTTTAATACGGCTACATCGTGACTATTATAAATATATTATAAAAATTATATATTTCTTTTAATATTTCTATTCTTCAGCTTGTATATGATGGCGAGGAGTCTGCGAAATCGTTTACCCTGGAGAGCGACAGCTCAATTAACTCAATTCCCTGGTTAGTAAATTTATTTGTTTGTTTATATGATGATGCTGATGATTATAATAACACCTTAATGCCAATTGAATGCATCTTTTGCATGCAATAAAGCCCCAACTGCATCTATTTCTTCTTCTTCTTCTCTTTATAGGAATAGGAGAGCGCGTCTCTGCTCAGCTACAACTGCAAGGCATCTCCAGCCTAGATGATTTGGCTGCTGCAGATGCAGAGACGCTTTCAAACTGTTGTAAGAAGACCGTTAAGCTAGACCATCTCTTGGTGAGTCTAAAAAACTAAAATAATTAATTTATTGCGATAAACAAGCAGAAATAATAACGCATAGATCCGTTTGATATTAATGCCGCCTGCGTCTCCTCTTCATTTTCATTTTCATTTTCATTTTCATTTTCATCTATATCTTCTTTCCTTCATTAACAATCATTATAATCATTTTCTTCTTCTTTGTCTTTCTTTGCATTTTTTAAAATTCTTTTTCTTTTTCTTATGCCGCTTCTATTTGTTCTTTTAACAGTTATAATAATTATTTTCTTCGTTTGTTTACTCCACCCATCATATATACATACTATAATATATACATTATATATTATATATTATATTTTATATATTATATTATATATATTCTTTATGCTTTTCAGGGCCTCCAACGGACGTGCGCAGCGCTGCCCCGATATATTGTCAGTATGCAGCAGAAGCGTGAACTAGTTAAAATATCTTTGCTTTCATTCGACTTGCAACAGTGCGTCTTCTTCTTCTTCTTTCTTTTCTTTTTCACTTCAAATTAAAATCTGCCTCTCATTAAATACAAATAAATAAATAAATAAATGTATATATATGTATATTTGTGTGTACGTTTATTTATCTATACAAATTCGTATACATATATATATACATATACATATATATACAGAAATATATATATATATATATATATATATGCATATCTATATTTATATACACATGCATATTTTCACATATATACATATATACATATATATAAATATATTTAATATTTTCTCTTTTTTTAAACAAATGCAGAGAAGAGCATCATCCTATTGGCCCGACAACATCCGCGTCTACTCCTTTGATTTCTTATCAACTGATTTGCTACTCTTCTAAAAGCAAACAAATTTATATTTGTCGCCGTCTCTATCCTTCGCGTTCTCCCCGCCAAGTTGAATTTTTTCTTAAAACCACCCATGCTGAGACCATCACCTGTCTCCTGGTCAGCCTCCTCATTATTATATGTTTTATTTTATCTTTATCTTGTTGTTATTAGTTGTTTATTATTATTATTATTATTATTTTTGTTATTATTTTTGCTGTTATTAGGGTCCTTGTTGTTGTTGTTGTTGGTATTGTAAAGAACAAATACTTTTATAAATTGCATGGTAGCAAATAAACGTGATATATAAATATATATATATATATATATATATATA